TGTGAGGGGCGTCCGGGGAGAGAATGTCAGACGACTGATTCATGGCCAGATACATTCACGAGGATCGTATTAGCCCACAGTTCGGGGTTTGTTTCTGCCAAGCTGCTCACATGCATACATACCCAGGAGATGCACAGTGCACATCTCTGCGCAGACCATCAGTGACTGTAAAACAGTAGAGTCGTAATGTTCCCCAGCCATGGGGGCTTATTAGAAGGCATAAAAACTGCATGCTACCTTCATTCATATTCTCCATAAACACCCCGCATTTTTTTTTCCCCCTTTTACTGCTTTCCAACTTTGGGCAGTTAGAAAATATAAGCCTTTGTGCCACTGTTTTGTGCTGCATGATTGATTTGCAAAATAGGTCTGTACTGGAAATGTATCTTGAATAAGGCGAGGATTTGCCTCTGTGTGTAAGTGCAAATTGCAGTGTCAGATCTCTGCGTGGATGTTGTTTGTCAGGCGTAAACTCAGCACGGCGGCAATTTTTATTTCCACCCCCCCTCCCGTCTTTACGGCAATGTCTGTATAATCTGGAAAAATAGGAGCTGTCGTTGATTATAGTCACGGGGATTGGGGAGAAATTGACATTTCTAACTCAGAAATTCCAGTGAATAAAATATTTTTTACAGTGCGGCGCATCTCAAACATTCCATGGTTACGAAAACAGAATTAATCATTTCCTTTCAACGTACGGAGGCTCAGAATAGATGCTACCCTCTGAAGCTCAAGTACAGACAATTACAGGGGCCGGAGATCTGTTTGGGAATAATCTGGGATGGAAAATAGTGCCAGACCACTGAGATCGACTCTTGCCTTGTGTGACTGGGGCGGCAGCTTCAAAGAGGCTGAATCGCAGGTACTGAATCTGTCATGTTGGTTTACATTAGAGCAAGGTCAGTCAAGTTAAATGGCAGGCAGAGAAGCAAGAGTGAAAGTTTTTCTACAAACAGTAGTTGCTTTTGAGAGTTTGTGCAGTGGGCGAGATGCTGTGAAGTAAACCGTTAAACCAACAAAAGCAGCAGAAAAGTCTGGAGAGAAAGTAAAATAAAGTTAATTGGTCAACAACAGACCTGCTCTAAAGCTACATGTGATGAGGCGTAAAATACCTACAAGTTCAGCAGTTTTAGGAGCTTATTTTCAACAGAAAAAAAAAAATAATGTGCAGAAATTCTGGCCAATCAAGCAGTGATATTACAGCCAATGAAGCAGGTATTGGAACTTTTGAGAGACGCCTGCTGGAAATTACATCAGCTTCTTTATAAAGCTCATCAGTCGAGGGAAGCATGAAGTGCTGAAAAACTTTCTGCTGGACAGCAGAGCTGATGTTGGTCTTAATAAAGCACAGTGGACCAGAAAAACACCAGCCAATGACTCAACTCAAATCCTCACTGACGGGCAGCAGAAAGAGTGCGAGGCAGCACTGGAGGACTCACACCTGCAGAACATTGCCTCTTCAGATGACCTCCCTCAACAAAATCTCTCTCACATCTGGCTATGAAGGCCACCACCATTTTCTAACTATGTTTGCAATGTGTGGTAAGATCTTTGCAGCTAAATTGTTCGTTTTGTACAGAATCTCAGACAGATTGTCTTTTTGTGTCTTTTTGTAGAACCTACAAATAAAGTTTTGCCCCATCTTTAAATATATGCCTGATACTTAAAATTTAGCTGAGAATTAATATGTAAAAGCAAAATTTTGGCACAATCATATTATGGAAAATGACAGAGTAAATGTGATGGAAAACTCTGCCCACAAATTGAATTTGTATCTTTTATATATATATATATATATATATATATATATATATATATATATATATACACACACACACACACACACACACACACACACACACACACACACACACACACACACACACAAATGCATATACACTCATATTATAAGTCCCATAACACTGTTCCCAAGTTTTGTTATCTGTTCCATTTGGGATCCTCCTCTTGCAAATGAAATTATAGACTTATACAAAGATGTATAAAAAATATATTTTTTAGAGGTTCCTATGCTGCCAATTTTAATAATGCATTCCGTCTTGGTTACATTCACACAATGCAGGCAAAAGCGGCTACATAATTTTTTTTTTTTTTTTACACACTTAACAGCACAAATCCGATTTTGTCAAGTCAGGCTGGGGTCACTTTCGTACATGGTCTTAGGTGATTATTTTCAAAGCTAGCTCAGTCTGAATGACCATGCCACATTTCATCTGAAAGCAGACACAGCTGATTCAGCCGGTCATGCTTTTGACACCGTGGAGTGCACAAAAATGTCAGGTCTGAGGCACATGTGCAGACATGTGTAGCATCCATATTTACTTCCCTAACCACACTGTTTCGTGGGTGACTTCAGGTCTTTTGTGAAAGCAGGTCACTTCAGGGGCAAATTACAACAATTACAATCTGATGGCGGTCACAGTAAAATTATCTGAAAAACAAATATCATGCAAAAGAAAAAAAATACTGATTTCAGATATTTCTTTTTTTTTATGGAAATTTTGCAGTTCAAAGGAAGCCCATGTGATGACAATCGATTGAGTGAATGCTTTAGATACATTGTATGGAAATTACTTTTCTGTTCCATTGTCACAAATGTGTGGAATTTGCAAAAATGCTCCAAAAACTAACTGGAACTTTGTATGTTGTGCAAAGTGAGTCTAGTGTCAAACTAAGGATGGGTACGTGATAATGATCCCAATAGCAACTGATTCAGTATGGTGAAGAATCTATGATTCTTTAAGGCTGCTTCTCTTTCAAAGACACTAAAAATCTTATTAGGGTGCGTAGCATCTTAAGCCCTTTAAAATACCCAGATATTTCAAATAAATATCTGATAGGTATTTTCCTCGAACCTATATAAAAAGACCACAGACAACGTATATGAATTTCATAGACAAAGCTTTTGCAAAAGAACTCTCCATCAACAACCTCATCAGCCGTTCACAGAGAATTCTGATCTCCTTCCACGCGAGCCCCTGTTTTATTGTCAAAGCAGAACAGCCAGAAAAAAACAACAGAGGTCGTAAAACATTTAACCTAAACAAACCAGCAACTCAGTTTCAGGTGTGATATCTGATCTACGATCTGAGCCCAGTTCAGCTGTAGGTCAAACTGTCAACAAAGAGGGAGGATAAACGAGACAAAATACGACTGCTCACAGGCAGTTAGGAGGTATTCTGGTTGATAAGAATTAAGGTCTGGGAAACACAGAGTTATACACACATAAGGAAGAAAACACTTTAAACTAAAAATCACAATAATACTGATTAACATTAGACTGAAAGTAATAACAAAATGATAATACCAAAAATCTCTATCAATATCCGACGCGGTTTGTCAGTTATCTGAAAAACTGGACCCTACACTGTTAATTTAAGCAATAATAAACTAAAACAAATTGGCACATTTGCACAGCCAACAATCAACCTTCTTCCATGGCTACCTTCGTTTTCTCACCATTGGCTTGTCTATTTGCTGCGTAATGATTAGCAGTGACACTGGCTCCCCCCTTTAAACTGCGGCGGCCAAATGAGTTCAGTCACTAAACACGGGCAACATTATAAGTGTGCATTTGACTCATACAGTTGGTCCTGTAATCTGAGGTGAGGTGTGAACAAAATGCCCGCTTTTCCATTTGAGACATGGCTGTTTGTGAAGCTGATGAAATGTGGTCACAAGGCTGTGATCTGGCCAGATTAAATCTACAAAGGTCATCACATGGTTATACTCTTTTAGCAGATGCACAGTCATGCTTTTTTTTTTTTTTACGTTGCATATAAATATAGTATTGATTTTTTTCCCCCTCAGTGTTCAGGTTAACTCCACCACTTTGCAGACATTTCAAGTTGTGGTTATGACCAACTAGTTATCACAAACTGGACATTTGCGGAATGCAGATTTTATCTTTTTTTGACAAATAAGTAAATTTTCTTAGTATCTTGCTTAATTGGCTTGATTAGGGGCTATATTCTCTAGTCAACTGGACCAAATAGAATCCAGAGCCTCAAACCACAGAAATGTGTACAATAATAAATTAGAAAATTACAATTAGTCATGTGAGATATGAGCATTTTTATGACCATCTTAATTTATGAAAATGCATCCGTGTAACTTGTTCGTTTGTTACGGGGACGCAATACAGAAAGAAAATGTTCAGAGTACAATCATTTTTTTTATTATTATTAAAACTCCTCAGCTTTGGTTCTTTTTTGCAGCCATTTAATCCAATTTGTTTAAAATCCTTCTGCCTTTACTGAGAGATAAATTAAAAAAAAGAAGTTACTTAATTTTCAAAGTGCATTTGTATTCCAGCAAAAGTTGCTAAGAAGTAAAAGTATCACAGTTTCAGCCGAGTTAAACCTGAAATATTACTGGCTTCATCACATTTGTACCATTTTCTGTTACCTATGGAAACATGTTTGAAAGATCAAGATTTCCCATGGAAAATCATTCTGAATTGTTTGATGGTTCAGCTGACAGAACAACAAGTGATCTGTCTGATCTGATCCCTGCCTCTCGGCACGTCAAGTATCGTGTTCAAGTAACAGTCAAATGTCATTTTGCAGTGTTGGGTGAGTTCATAAGGTTTGCAAAGTAAACAGACAACTATCGAGCCTTAAAGATTATTTAAAACTACCCATTCAATGATCTTTCCATGAAAACGACCAGTAGAGAAAGCCATATCCTTTCAAAAAGGGTATGGCAATGATGAATTTGGATAAGCTTTGCAGAAGGAGATAAAAAAACTGACAGTACCCATAAAGTATCCAACAGGTTTTATAGCATGAAGGGTGCCTCCCCCCCACTTTCGTCATGTGAATAAAAAGTCTTTTAAAATCCAAGAGGCAGGTGAGATCAACAGATCTCATTTACATAGGTTCCTCTAAAATATGTGCTCCCAAAGTGCGTCAACAAGCATTACAGTCTCTGAAAATGACAAAAGGTGAGCCTACTTTTTTAATAACGGCTTAGTACTGGACCTTTGTTGCAAATCCCGACGGATTCAGCAGTCTGCAAAATCTTGCCATACCATTTTCTGGAATAAGATCAAAAGATTTGGAATCACAACATGAAGATGCTCAGCAAGTCATTGTAAAGTTATAACAAGACAACAAGTACACACACAGTTATACATTGTGTGGCATTGTTACTGTACTGCTATAATTTCACCATAATTTTCCATCAGTGTGCTGTCATAAACCACAACATGACATTGCCTCTTCTTTTCATTGACTCTAGCGACCTTTATCTGAGGCCTGGAATCAAACCTGTGACGTCCACATCACGGACTAAGGCTTCACCCCGCGCCACCCCAACACCTCGCATTGCCTCTTCTTTTGGGGATTAACAAAGTGCACCTCAACTAAAAGAGTAACTCGTGCCAGTGCATATCACCTTGACAAGGCCATTACACGCACAAATTTTCACCACAGCGTGACTCACACTTAATCATATCAGCCTTCCTCTTTCCGCTTTGAAAATGTTACACACCTTCTCCTTCACTTTTCGAACAGTTCGTGCAACATCTAGAGACCCGAGCTTCATACACAGTTAATGTCTTTGCTGTCCAGATGATTAACGTTGCCCAATTCACATTCCCGAGTGCTGTCTAAATTTCCACTCTTCCTCTCGTTTCACCTTCCTTGTTGAGCTCACTCCTGGGCTTCAGGTAAAAATAGCTGCTCCACCCCGTTCCTCTCGGCTGTCAGACAGTGTGTAGTCCCTGCGCTGGGATGTAAGACCTAAAAAAAAAATAAGGTTTTATTGAGGAAACGGCTTTCACGTGTCGTAAAATTGACTTCATTGAATCTAATCGGACCAGGTTTAGCCCTAAAAAGCTAGTGGACTGTGTTTTTTTTTTTTTTAGCTAAAGCCTTTCAGAAAGGATCTTTTCCAAAGCATAAAATTAATATAGCCACTATGTACCCTCTGAACAGTTGGAAAGACTATATAGTCAGATTTATATCTAAAAAAAATCTCATCTTTCTTAGTCTCAGATCTATGAAAAATTAACTATAAATTAACCCAGTGGTTCCCAAACTTTTCCTCCTGGCCCCCCCAGTGGTTTCAAAACTATTTATGGGCCCCCTCTTTGGCTTGCAAATAGCTGTCTTGTTGAACGATGTGTGTGAGCGAAGGGGTGGGGGGTGGATTCTCAGAGACTCCCTGTTATCCTCTACCTCAGCTCCAGACGAACAACGGGGGGAATCAACTTTTTGGGGGGCAAAATGAATCGTAGCTGAACATAGACAACACCACCAGTAGCCTACAAGCTACTTGTTAACAAGTTTAAGGTGATGTATTGATATTAACTAGCTACCTGTATCCAACAGCTTTACTCAACAGTCTGTTAGTTTGGGGGAAAAACTGTGAAAAGTTCTTTGCGTTTTTGCTGGTTTGCTGCCGTGATTCTAAAACACCTGTGTAGCTCCGCACAGCATCAGCAGGTCTCCTTCACTGTCGCACAGGTGTAAACCCAGTGCAAGCGTCGTAGCGCTCATGTTGCGTTTAAAGGCGGCTCAGAAAAACAGGTTACGACATGTTAACAACGGATTAAACAGTTTTAACTGCTGATAAAAGTGACAGAGGACACAGATATGGGAAGTGTAGAAGCCCCTACTGTATCAAATTGACAGAGGAATAACAGAGAGTTGAGTATTCTAATGTAAAAACCCAGCGCATACAACGTTCATGTTTTTTCTTTTTGATCCAGACGGCTTCCAGCGCCCCCCTAGGGGGCGCGCCCCACAGTTTGGGAACCTCTGAATTAACCAATAAATCATTTTACTGAGAGTCATCTTAGTGTAGGTGATTTGATCAATTTCACCTAAAGACAATGTGCATCATTAATATCCTTTTGTCAGGATCAAGTCCCTGTATTACTGAAAATATTAATTCTGTAGCATACTTTATTATCAAGGTTCAGGCCAAATTTTTGTATCATCAGCAAATAAACAGGTAGAGCATTCAGGTCACGTATGTATGTGTTAAAGGAGAAAACTAAAAGTCTAAGCACACAACCTTGAAGAACGCCTTTGCTCATGGTGATACCAGTGAACATGGAGTAATTAATTTTAATTTTAACAGTTCTTTTAAAGCGAAAAACTTACTATATTGTGAAACACTTGCACATACAAAGAAAAAACTCCTGGTTTTTTGCAAAAATATCCCTTGATCACATTATGTCTGTCTAACCTATTTGGGAAACGGTGTGACATTTGACAACAAGGCTGAACTGTTAATAAAAATGTTTTTAGGACCTGCAGTGGCAACTATAATCATAAAACTCAGGTTTGACTTTGAAGAGCAACTTAAACCATTTAAAATGTAATACAAATATTCAAAACATTCAGATATTAGCATGTTTGCCTAAAGCACCTAATGTGATGCAAATTACAGGGCTTTTTCTTTTAAGTTTGCTTTGGTGTCTTTCTACTCCGGCTGTCACAGGTTCCCCATTACAACTTAAACGAAATCCATCAAAAGTTACCTTTTAACAAGTGATGCAAAGCAGCTTTGGGAAGGTTCCCAGAAATCTCTGTTAGCCTGTCAGTGATAAGACTGGATGTGAAGTTGTAGCCCGTGGCCACAATCTTCAGACTGAAAGTGCACAGAAGTCCTTCTACATGGCACTTCTCTTTATGGAAAGCAACAGTGTTTTCCTGAAGGCACTGACATGATTCCTGATTTGAACCACAGTTAACATGCCAACAAGTTTGTAAATAAGTTTAACAGTCAAAGACAGAAAAGATAACCGTTAAAAGTTTTTATTTTACCTACATCACTGTGTATTTAAGTAAAGTGTACACTTTATATATTGAGGCTTCTTAATCTAAGCTAATAAAATGTGTGCTATAAGTTAGCAAACATTATGCTTCTGAATACTGACAAACAAAAATTAGAAACGAAAAGGAAAGCAGCATTTAAAAGCTCAATTTTATCACTTACTTTTCCCAGGCTTGAAGATGGCGTGTCCTATCAGCTGTGTTGTTCATCGCTGGGCTTGATGCCACTCTCCAATCAGTGCTGATTGGGTCCAGGTGCAAGTTTGTCCTTCCAAGAGAATTGATACCAATTCTCCAACCAAATTTGATAGTGTTTCCAGCTAAGTTTTCGATTACTGCAGCTTGTGTTTCCTTTATTGATGGTAACACAATTCAAATCCTAAAAACTCCATGCCTCCTTTACATATCTGTGTGGATGCTTTTTGGGTCTGCTGTTGACTACGAGTGAATGTCAGACCATGTATTTCTTGTTTTGTGAAACAATGTGAGAAGGTTTGTGTTTTGCTTTGCATGGGAGCTTGTACTTCTGGAATGTGTACCAATATGGGCAAAACTGGTGCTATCAAAGAGAGATTTAGATTTAATTAATTTAACCAGGAGAGACGGATGACGTTTCTTGAATGTACTGGGCAGACGGCATTACTCGTACTTAGTGGTGGGGAAACTCGGCTGGGCCATTGTAGATTGGGTTAGGTGGGGTGTAGAGATTTCTGTTTGTCCGATTTAGGGACCGATCTTTTACACAGAAACGTGACATCATCTCCGCTCCCAATTTAAATGTTTTATGAAAGCATCACTGCAGAAAAGGAAAAAAAAAATCCTGTTTTTAATTCAGTCTTTATATCTTTAAAATTTAAAACAGAGATTTGATTTGGGTGAAATTGTTATTGGCAGGTCGAAGCTTTGCGAAGCACAAACCCAGTGCCAGTCTAAATGGTCAGTTTAAACTACTCAGATTTTCGGCAGGGTTGATTTTCAGCAGAAGAAGATACAACAGTATCACTCCATTCCACGCCAAATAATCTTTGGTATCTAGGGTGGGAGTGAAAAACCATACTGACAAAGGTCTGTCACTTTACATGCCAACTCTGCTGCTCATTTTTATCTCATACTATAATCATTTAAATACAGTCACGTGACCTTTCCACATGCGGTTTTGTCCCTGCTCGACAATTGCTCAACACACTTAATATTTCTTGGAAATTGGTTTACATCCAAAGACCAAAATCACTTCTTGGAAGAAGAAAACATGCAGGATTTTCAAAGAGGAATTGGAAGCATTCTTAGAATATCCACAAAACCTTGCTACTGAGAGCAATGCACTCACTTCTCGTCAAACATGATAAAATGGCTTTTCTCTTTAAAAAGTAATCAGGAACAAGAAGGACTTCCCACAAACTTCCCTTTGTCCTACAACTCATTGCCCTGCCTCTCTTTAACAAGAAGCGGGCGTGCTTGAATGGAAGAATGGTCGTGTCCTTCACACTGTCTGATTTGCTTAGGAAAGGCGCTCACGTCTAATACTAATCTGAATGACAGCAGTGAAAATCTTGGCTCGGTTTCACAGGCTAGATTGGGCCTGGCCCAATGACCTTCTCCAGGAGAACATGGAAAGTTTGCCGGCTCAATATGTCACAGGCAGAAGAGAAAAAGAAAGCAGTGATTAAATGGGTCTGATCCATGGCTTGCCTTGGTAAGTGTCTAGAAAAGTGCTGCACATGTTGTGCTTTTAGATTATTGTATAGATAGTATCACACAGTAACCTCATGAATCCGTTCAAAAATGGACAAAAAAAATCATAAAACAATTAAAAAGGCGAGGTATGGTTTTTAAGGGAGACTTAACACCCTTTTCAAACTTCAACACCTTGCTACGGCATTCGACACATCAATAAAGGCAGACCAACTTCATTATAAATGATACAGATATCATTTTATCACGGCCAGACAGCAGAATTTTCCCTAGAGTTATCCAGCAGCATAAGAACTGATCCTATTCTCTAAAACATAAAATACAAATAAAAGAAATCTGTCCCTCACTCACATAAACAACTGATAATTCTGGAACTGGACATTTCCTTAGGCATAATTATAGCAAGTAATGTAAGTTTAAAGCAAATTAGCCTCACAGGAAGTTGAAACAAAGTGTTAAATGGGGTTAATTGAATTGTAAGGCTTGTCAAAGACGATTACCAAGCCTCAGAAACACCACTTTAATTGTGTTATTACCATGTGGATTTACACACCGGATATTTTTGTCCAGTAATTATAGCTTGAAAGTCTGCGTAGTTTAAAGCACTCCAAGTCAGGATGATTTGGGTAGAAATTTTTAAAAGTGCAAAGAGAGAAAGTTCTATTACACAACATTTCAGCTATGATTTAAAACAAAAATGGCCATTTAGTAGAAACGCAGCACAGCAATAAAGATTAAAAGGATGAGCTGTTACGATGTGCCTTTATTTTGTGTTATTTATGCATCAAATAATCCAATCGTATAAGAAACAATCTATGAAGGGAAATTGGGCCACATTCATTCTGTATTCTGGTAAAAAAAAATCCCTTCTATGCTTGGGTTGATTTTGATTATCAGTGAATTTTATTTAAGAGTAATACATTATCATTTTTCTTGCAAAGCTGTGATAATTTCCATGACCAAATGGAGAAATATGTTAAATGCCTGAAAAGAGGAGATTGCGGTAACTGAGAATGCAGCCAAAAATTATAGAAAAGTAATGATGTTATTTGGTGAACCGAGACATTAATATGACTAATGTCCATGCAAAAGGAGAGCAACAATATTAATGTCTCCTGCTAAAATATAAGGATATAATGTGAATATTTACATGGATATTTATCAAGTGCAGATGTAAAAATCAATAAAATGACGACTGAGACTGGATAGTTTGGAGATCTAAGTGTCCTGAACTTTGGGCACCTTGCATGTTGTTGTTTACGTGCAGCATGTGCTCAATGTTGTAGGACAAAAAGACTATTCTTTCACATGCCATCCATAGCCGCGCTGCCGCCTTAGCACAATTCCGTTAAATCAATAAAACTTGAAAATGTAGGTGTTATAAATTTTTTCGTGCTATACTCCACAGCAAAGAGAAAAACCGAAGTGCAACTCGAAACCACTTCTTTCTCGCTTTCTGTAACGGCCAAGCTTCACGCGGACTCGTTGCCATAGCAACTGACAACAACGCCACTTTGTGTTTCAGGATTCAACACCAAAAAACACTCAAATATTTTGCACAAAGAACAGAACATTCAGTCTGTTGCAGAAGTATGTTTTTAGGCTTAATGTTTCATTAATAAGTGATTGCTGTGGTTAATTAGCTACCGCTGCTATTAGCTAATTTAACAATAGTTAGTGGGTTGTTTCTTTTCTGAATTCTTCACACAACACCCACATTACATAAAAAACAAAAAAAAAAAAACAAAAAAAAAAAACATGTTATTGACGTCTTACCAAATTAAGTGGAATCGCCCTTTAGCTATTGGAAGCTGGAATTGGAAACCAACTTACCAACTTCAGCTTCACTCATCCAAAGCCAAGTCTGTTTTTAGACATCCCAAACGTTTCGGTTTTGAGTATGAGTGGTCATGTTTGGTGAGGATTTTTTGCAAATTATTTAAGCCACAAAATCTCATCTGAGTCCACACAGTGCCACACGTTGAGAAAAGAAGGCAAGGGAAGCAGAAAAGGCCGTTTCTCGCAGGACATTAACAACGCCAGTCTTTTCTACTCTGTATGAGAGGAGCGGTATCCTTCTTTCTCGAAGCAAACCTTTCAGCTCCGTGTTGGTCTTCCTTTAGTTATTATTTCCTGCTTCAACTGAAAATCCACTTTAGAAAACTGTTTAAGTGTAGACACGTAGTCACCCAGAGAGGAGAAAACATTAAATATATTGCTGCACTCGACTTATTATTTACTGTATGGCTACCGCGCTATTTCTTACTCTGCAGACGTGGAGTCATAAGACCACTGTCTGGGATCATGAGCGCCCCCTGCCATGAGGCAAGAAAACTGCCTCCCTCACCTCGAATCTCTTCTCTGCCGTTTAATGATCGCTCCTCCGCACACCAATCACGTTACACACACACAGTTGGTGGCGAAAAACACTTACAAATAAGCTAAATTATGGAAAATCAGTTCAAGTATTAAGTGTTATTTTTAAACCATTTTATCAGTGACGTACAGACAGGAATGGCATAGAATGGTTAGTGAGAGGTTGCGCAATGCAAGAGGTTGCTCAGCTCGCTGCTGCCTCAACAGCTTCGGACTGTATTCGTATTTTACCAGCTGATCTTTTAGGATATACTCAACTTTCTTCATGTCTGCTTTATGTTTTATACTACAGTTGATCATTTATTACTAGCATTCAGTAATATTTAAAAACAAATCTTCAGACGTAACCATCCGTCCGCTCAAATGCTGTCTTCTGTTTATCAAAATTTGAGTTGCAGATAAGGACGTCTGGGGAGGGAAATCCAGAGAGGCCTCTCATTCTGCAGGTTCTCACAGGGGATTCCTAGGTGCTCCCAATTCCCTCCATGGAGTTCTGGGTCTACCTCAGGGTAGTAGGAGTTTCCTGGAGAACATACAAAGGGTGGGACCCAAGAGGCATTATGATAAGATGGAAATTAAATTCAGCTTATTGATGTAGCACAAATTCATAACCAATATCCTCTCAGGGCACTTTACAGAATAGTCAAGAGTTTATATTTAGAAACATTTAATCAAGTCAATCCAATGATGAGAGTTTAAGATTCACTTATATTTCATCACCATCCTGTCAGAAACGATTTGGAGGGAGGGGGAGGGGGGGGGAATCATCACCTCTTTCTTGCCAAAATATTTAGGCAAAAATTATAATACAAAAAAATCATAAAAAGTCTTTTTCGTGTGTAGCAAAAAAAATGATGTAGGTCATTATTTCAGGAAGGTGAAAATATGTTCCAATTCAACCCTACTTGTAATGTTATTCAGTGTAGAATGAAACAGAAATACTCTTTATCCCACAGAGGGGACATTCTGGTGTAGCAGCAGCAAAGAGACAGCCAATCAAAGCATGCAGATTGACACAAAAATAAAAAAATATATATACCAGTATATAAAAACAGAATTAAGAATAACATACGGTACAGTAAGGGAACAGTAGCAACATAAAATACTGTGCAGTTATTAAATATAGCATACTCTGATCCAATGGAATGTGCATGAGAAGAATATATTTATATTTATAGATTTCTACAAGATTTTGACTTTGCAG